TTCTTCCTTTTCCTTTGCCTTTTCTGGCTCTTCTTCCTTGGAATCTCCTTTGGAACCACGAGAAGTTTTGATCATCATATACCCAAAAGACATCGTCCAGGGCATCTAAAAATCCTTCAGTTCCATCTTCTTCATCTTCGGCCCAATAGCCAAATGTACCATCGAGTTCTCCTTCGTCTAGTACGAGAAATGATCTTCTACCTCCAGCACCTGTTGGCTGCATCAAAGGATTGTCTACTGAAGTCTTTGTCGTGCAGAACATCTCGATGAACACTGTCCTCAACTCTGTTGTAGTGTATTGCTGCAGGACCCTGCCACGATGAGTCATCAATGAAGTCAAAGTGTTTCGCTGGTCCTGAGACAAATCTGCAAGTGACAGCATGAGTAAGGCAATGAGATTTTCTCCTAGAGGAAATTCGTTCTGATGAAAAGTCCTCATATTGCCATTGATGGTCTGCATGATTTCCTGAATCCTTTCTGCCGTTGGTGCTACTCCAGTCAACGCTGCATCTGCCTGCATCTGAGCTAGGACCTGTGGATGTGCTTGAGTGACTGGTTCTAACATGTCCATCCAACTGCTCATAAGCCTTTGGAGTAAAAACTGGAATCTTGTCATCCATTTCATCGTGTCAGCTGATCCTCGATTGAAGCGCACGAATTGCATAAATCTATACAGGAATACATTGGTTGATCCTTTCACGAAATATGGTCGTAGTACTCGTTTGAAATATTCTACGCCGGCTCCTGGTGGATCATTTGCCTTCAATGTATACAGCTGCTTCTCCTTCTAACCTGTTTCTCAATGCTGGTCCTCTCTTCTCATCTTCCAGCTCGGTGATATCACACCAATCGTCTATGGCATCCTCATAGGAAAACCATGAAGTCTTTCCATCATAAGATGGGGGCACCTTTGTAGTGACCTGTGTTGTCATTGCTATTGCTGCTGGTTCTCTTCTCACATGCCTATTCACATAGGCTGCTGGCTCATAAGCCACATCCGCATCAGGCTCTTCCCAGTCGTCAATCCAATCCATGGCCGTTTGCCCACTAGCAATTCTATGCCTAGGAAAGGAGCTCACCTGGGTCTTCCAGGATCACTGCTCCGCTACCACTGAAAGAGTGACTAGGGCGTACACGGTAGAGGTGCAGACCGCTAGTGTCTTTTATGCGCAGAGTCTTATCCTCTTGCTCTTTGAGCCTTGAAGCAGTCAAGCATGGACACACTATATCGGCTGTTGGAGTGGAACACTGTACAGGTAGGCTCTACTTTTCAGGGGGGGGGGTGTGCATGATGAATTCATCCGGCCTGTGAATACTTAGCAGCGCAGGCATGTGAATACTTAGCCGTCAAGTATGCTCAGGCTAGCGAGTTTGAGTTCTTCAGTCTCCGAAATCTGATGTATTCGACAGGAACCGTTTTTTGGCCCGGCGGCCAGTGTGTCAGTTGATTCGGTGAGGGTGTCGGTGACTTCCTGTGAAAGTCCGGTGAGCGGTGGTGCTTTGTGGTTGTTGCTTTCCCATGTAAGAGCGGCGCCCCAGTGACGGGGATCACACTCAGCACCCGAGTGGGACGGCTGAGCGAAACACACTCTGACACTGGTTTTCAGTTAACGCAATTGTCACGTTGGGAAGGAAGGTGAGAGAACGGAAAGGTGCATGGGTCCGATCACTTGAATAGTTTAACATTGTTGTCACAAGGCGGCAGCAATCAAACCGGCGGCGCAGCTGCTGGGGACGAGTAGGTTTGGGGGTGGTAGCATGAAGAACCATGGAATCAAACAAAGCCAATTAGACAGCGTGGTCAAAAGTTCAGCAGGTACGCAGGGCTGATCAGGCCCTGCTTCCCACTCCCGCCCACAGCTTCGTTGCGTGTGGTAGGGCGGGAGTGCCACACGCCCCTGCCTGATTGGAGTGGTCGAAGGAAACCCTTTGTCCAGGGGTGGACACACACACACGTACATAATACATATCCGCATAATAGAACTCCGGATTATTTTAATTGCCCTTTGCGACTCACTATTTGTAGGGTGTTCCAGCGGGGGTCTTGTAGAGACATACGACGGTAAGGATACATATGTTGTGGGGGCTCTGCAAGGAAGGCAAGTAGAATTTAATCGAATTTTATAGAATGAAGTTTTTTGAGAGAGCATTGGGCATTCTTTACCAAAAATGGCTTAGACAGAGGATGGAGGGTGTAAAACCCAAGGAGGCGATGTAAAACCTAGTGCATTTGAAGAAACGTGTTCACCAACATTTGGCAAATGGAGGCCACAATTGCAAGATCGTGACTTTGTGCTTACGTCATCATTGCCAAACATTCATATGTGGACACATCTCTGAACACGAGAATGAGGTTCTTTTCACCATGTGGGATCTTGAGGACGGGTTTTCGCCCCCTGGTAGTGCATTGCCCTTTGTGAGGCACCGCTCTGTGTGACCATTGCGCCCACAAGGGAGCTTGCCCGTCAGATCTTCAACGACTTTGAATTGCTTGGTGCTGCCGGTGGCTTGGTGGTCAAGTGCTTCTATGGAGGCGGGCTTCGCGGAATTGGTAGGTGTACCATACCAGCCTGTTGCTTTGAATCCGAGCCAGTGGGCTTTGGTAGTAAGAAGCTTAGTGGGGATCAATTCTCAGATTCCTGCAGCGTGGTGCATGTTTGTGATATTGACAGGTACGCCCTTTGGTTCTCAATGTGAAGATCTCCGGAATGGTGTGCATGTGTTGGTTTGCACTCCTGGGCGTTTGCTAGACCATGTACGCCGGCAAAGTGCTGATGCTCAGCTGGAATTTCCACTTTTTTTTAATGCTGTTAGTGCTTCAGGGACGAGCTCATGGTTTCAGCTGCGAAGTTTGGTGAAGCACCAGTTTTGTCCCAAAATTTTTTGCAACCATGTTATATTCAGTGTTGTTCCCTCAGGACCTATCAGCATGCAAGACGCTGGTTTTGGATGAGGCAGACGAGATGTTGTCAATGGGATTCCAAGAAGACATCGAAGCAGTGATGGATGAGCTGCCAAAAGAAGGTTGTCAGAAGCTGTTGTTCTCCGCGACTTTGCCCAAATGGGTGAATGCCATTGTAGAGAAGCACTTGAAGTCACCGGTTTGGATTGATGTAGCACAAGATCCTGATGGCAATAAGACCAGCAATCTCATCACACATCAGTGTGTTGCATGCCCTATCAGCATGCGGGGTGATTGTATCGGCGACCTGTGCAAGATACATGCAGGCGCATTTGGTAAAACCATTGTCTTTGTGAATACGAAGAAGGATTGTGACGAACTTGCCGGCAATGAGAAGCTGAAGGCCATAGGAGCTGGCGTTTTGCATGGGGACATCCCCCAGCAGACACGTGACCGAACGATGGAGCACTTCCGATCTGGGAAGATCCGTTGCTTGGTGGCCACGGATGTGGCAGCGCGTGGCATTGATGTGCCAGCCGTAGATTTGGTGGTCCAGACTCGTCCACCGCAAGACCTGGAAGCTTATGTGCACCGTTCAGGTCGCACAGGCCGTGCGGGGCGCAAAGGAACCTCCATTTGCTTTTATTCCAGATCTGACGAATATTTGCTTCGCCTCATTGAGCACAAGAAGGGCATCAAGATGCGGCGTGTAGGCCCTCCACAGCCGAAAGATGTTGTAGGAGCTGCAGCAGATGATGCAGTGAGACAACTTGATACAGTGCATGAAGCCAGTGTCGAAGCCTTCACCGCCAAGGCGAAGGAAGTGATCGAAGAACGTGGTGCCGAAGCAGCGCTTGCAGCTGCCATGGCTGCCTTGACTGGGCATTTCCGTGAGCTTAAGGGACGGTCCATGCTTTCAGCCTGGGAAGGCTGTACTGCTCTGATTTTGGAGTCTGAACGTGCCATTGAAACTTCCTCAAAAGGCTGGTATTTGCTGCGGCAAATGCTTCCATGGGAAATCGTGGAGGAGTGTCGGGGCTGCAAACGTTGCAAGGATGAACATCGGTGCATTTTTGATGCACCAGATCACTTGGTCAAGAAGATTCTGGAGGCAGGAGGCTTAAACAGTGTGTCGATTCCAAGAGCTCAAAACGTCATTACACGCACACACCCACACACAGACGCACGCATGCACGCACGCACGCACAGGCATATACAATATACAGAATTATACAGATACATGTAATTTCACACAGAACAGGCACTCCTGGGAAATATATATATATATATGGACTGACGTGAATGTTGGCTTTGACTGTGTGTCCTCAAAGCTCGATGGCATTTGATCATTTGATGCTGGCAAAAAAGCAAGCACGCGAGTCTGACATGGCATTTGGCCAGAACGCCACAGGTCGAGCTGTGGCGTGGAAACAAGATCAGCGTCGCAGAGGAGCTACCCGAGCTCGAGGAAGAGGAGACAGACATCCATGAGGCTTCTCAGCGGTTGAAGGAGACCAAGCAGCGAATGTATGAGCGAAGAAAAGGTGGCGGTAAAGGTGAGAAGGGCAAGGGCGAGAGGGAAGGAAAAGGAAGAGGAACTTTGGCTAAATTGGCAGCCATGCCCCTTGTTCCATGTGTCTTGAACATTTAAAAACCTGACGATCCTCATGCATGTTTGGCATTTGGTGGTCTTGTTTACCTTGCTGCGTGATCGATTCAAGGCAAAGGAAAAGGAGGAAAAGGAAAAGGAGAAGGGCGTGGCAAAGGGAGTTCTCGGGGACGTGGCCGTGGTTGAGGCATTCTTATGGCCTTCGAGATGTGATCCGGAACCTTTTGCTTGTGTAAGCCGCATGCACCTATGCTGTTAATACAACAGGTGACTTGTGCAGTTGCTTGTCATTTCTGCGCGGAAAAACGCCAGTCAAACCTAGTGACAGCTATAATATAATATTAGTCTATGATTATGGAGGTGGCGGCGGCGGCTCTTGATTGATTGATTTGAATCATAAGCACCAATTAATTACCTTTGGACACTTTGTGGCGGACTCCTGGCAGATACTGTATTCTCCCGAGTTGACATAGTGCGCTTTTGTGTTAGGCCTACCTCACCTTGCAGTGGCGAGTGGGACCCCAAAGACAGGGACGCCCGTGAACGCCCAGGCCTGGGCAGATCAGCAGATCACAGGGTAGCAATCCTGAGCTTTCCCGGCCACACAACCAAGCCAATGTCCAATGAACTATAATATTCCTTTTTTCCAATCCAGTGGCTGCCTGACTTTGAGAACACATTGCTTAAAGCAAGAGCTGCCTGTCATGGCTGCTTCTATTTAGTAAGTGTCAACATGGTGGTTGAAATCATATTGATATTTTACCGTAATTTGTTAATTTAGTATATGAGTATTGAATTGACACATGTGTGTAGTTATATTTGCATATCCATGTCCTCTCTACATCGACCCTTGGTGCATTTGAGGAAAGCCTTGTCAATTGCCAACAAATACGTTCAACCCCAAGCTCACCCAGATGTGTAATGCCCAACTGATCCTGGGAGTTGATCGAAAACCCCGTGTAAGGAGTTTTATATAAAACAGCCTTTCAGATGTTGTTAGAACCATCCGCGAAAGATTCGCGATGAGGTTCGCGAAAGTATCTTTTTTTTCCGCGAAAGATTTATCGAAGGTCATCGCTTTCATTGTTTCCCTTTGACAAAGAGCCAGTGGGCGGAAGTGTCCCCATATGTCACAGACTAACGAACTGAAGCCTCAACATTTCCATGCCCGGGGAAAGCACCAGTGAAATTTCGCGAAAGATCCGCGAAAGCTTCGCGAATGTGCCGCTAAAGTCTAGGTTCCCAGCTTGAGGCCCCCCAACATTCCCCAAGCTGCATCACCCTGTGTTGGTAGCTGACACGAGGATTGGGTTGAGTTGTGCCTGACTCTATTTGGCACAATTGTCGCACAGATGCTGCAAATGACCCTGAGTAGCTGTGGAAACGTTTAACCATCTACTGGGGTCATGCTGCAAGATGTCTCTCCCTATTTTGTGATACTATGACATGTTCCGGCTCATGTTAGCTAGACATGGTTGTAGGACCACGCTTCGCGATGAGTCCGCGAAAGATCCGCGAAAGATATCTTTTTTTCCGCGATGAATGGCCATTCCAGGATGAAAGAATATTGATCAACCACCATATAGTATAGATTCAATTAGCCAAGATCTTGTATGCCGAATAATGTCAATGCTTGTCGAGTAATGAGGCCAATACTAATTGGACGCATGTTCAATCAGAAGAGAGGGGCAAGATGATGCAGTGAGTTGAACTTATTTGGGAGAGCGTGTGCACTTGGTGAGGACAGTGATGAGGAACTCTCCGGCACACCAAAAGCACGCGAAACATCAACAGATCCCAAGGCGCTAGAATTGGAATTTCAGACCAACTGTGACAACAACGTGACTTGCCAGTATGACTTTTCTTAGAGCAGCGTTCGTTGGATTCTTTTTACGACCCTTTTTGGCAAATCGGTACTGAAACTTGCAGGTAGAAGAAGCTGCGAAATGACACACATGTTGACACATGTTGTGTTCCTGATGTTGCAACGCCAGGATAAAGGCTTTAATCCTTCGACTGTGCCTCGCGAGTCTTACTGGCAACGCTTGAGCCCAAAATAGGATTCCATAAGAGATTCCTTGCTTGAATGTGTCAAGCATTTTATCTATATACAGATATAGACGGCGGTTTATCATTAAATTAATTTTCTTGGTTGTCTTTGCAGTTTCAACTTGTCCTTGGCTGTGAGAGTGTTCGCAGAATTTGGGCCTGCGCTAGCGGCAGTTAGGGCGGTCGAGTTTGACAAAGCCAAGAAGGTGCTATTCCTGCATTCCACTCATCACGCCGCAAAGAATCAATGCTGTTCCGGCTGTTAGCTCTACAGTTTTGCAGCTGAATGAGTGACCCTTAGCCTATTTTCAGTCGCTTCTCTGCTTTGAGCTGGCCTCATGTCGGTATCTTTGTCCACAGACACCTTGAAGTGGCACTGTCCACCCTGGGGTGGTTCAGTGCTGGCGCCGAGATATGATCGTAAGGCTGGGCCGCTGATGGGCCCCCATGACCCTTCCGGAAAACATGTCATGTGTCAAGCCAGTGAATGTGGTGCTTTCACTGTTGAAAGCTGTACTGTAAGGTGAAGGACCGATTGAGGGCCAGCTGTATATTTTATTTGTTCGCTTTGCGGCAACTCACATGTTGGACAGCCGAATTAGTATTGGCCCGTATACATATCCATTTGCAGCATTTCCAGCTCATAGGCAGTGAAGCCTGGCATCGTGCACATGGGCATTACAGACTTTCACAGAGGTCACCAAGCCCATTTCATTGACGAAATCCTCGGGTCCAACGAGGCTTTCGCTGGGATGGGCTGAGGTTCTTGGAAGCAATGCAGCTCTCGATAGCACGTGTAAAATGCTAGTATACATAGCCCAGGAAGCAACCCCAGTTGGTTGGCTCATCATTGTGATGTTGCCTTGCTTATAGTCAAAAACATGTTTGTTGATTCCTTGATCTCCAGGTTGTTCAGCCCAGTCAGCAACAATAGCGTTTTTTGTTTGAGGTGCAGCAGTGTCAAGCCTATGTGGACGGTTTTGTACTGTGGTGCTTAATTTGCTCTATGCTTTGCGCACAGTTGCGCTCACAATCATGTGGACGCGTTCGCTTAGAGAAGAAGCAAAGCTGTTGATGTGTAATCACAATTTATGGTAATTAGATTGGAGTGTCCACTACTTAATTACTAGTTTCTAAGTACTACTCAGAAACTTATGCTTGAGGATCACCTGACTAGATCTCATTGCAGAAGCTATAATCTACAAGTGCTTCCAATGAGCTTGCTGCAGCTTGCCTCATTTCAGGTGGGTTGCCTGAATTGGGGGATCTCGGCCGTGAGTTTATGGCCGGATGCCAAGATGAGGTACGCGTGTCCTGGTGAAACTTCAGCACCAGCTGGGACCAGAAAGAACATGCCTCACGGTTTAAGAACATGCCTCTGAAAGCCTGATTTCGCCTGATTTTCGCCAATGCGAGCAAACAAACATGATCACTTATTATGGTACATGCTGCATGTCTCAATGATCCTCAATGGCTTCGATTGGTGCTTGTATGTCGTGCCAGTCCACTAGCTTTTGGCTGGAGTGTGGACTGAAGATTTAAAGCCACTTGCTAATACCTACGGCCTCCTCCAAAATGGTTTCGATTCAGAAGCTCCAGACAACCAAATGATTTTGATATGTTGTTTGCTCACTAAAGGAGCTTGTTGCCTTTTATTATAAATCTCATGACACATATTAAAATATGTGGTCTACAGAATAAATATATTGTGTTAACCGCCAAAATATGCAGATGGAATAACTTTAATTATAGCAATTGACTCATACATTTATAGCATATTTTGGCCAATGTTGGTATCTTATTTTTATTGCTCATATTTCATTCGCATTCCTCATTTTCATTTAAAATAATGAGGAAGGTCATGGGTTAGTCCATAGATTATATATTTATTCTTACATTTATCCACCATTTTTAATGATAAGAAGAACAAACATTAGATTTAAAATGGTTGGTATTTCTTTTATCTTAATTTATGCAATTTGCAATTTATATCTTTCATTATTTGATTATAGCAAATGGCCATAGATAAAAAGAACTAATATTATAGATGAACGCCATATTTTATAATTAATTTCTGGTCTTTCATTATATTAAAATATTGCGTATGAACAATATTAATTTTAACCTAGCCGTTGACCTGCCAGATATCATAAATTAAATCTGGCATCAACTTATTTTAAGTTGTAATAATAATTCAATAATAAGATAATAATCATGGATTTTCTAGATCTGTTTCTTAATTATGAAAATCCATAAAAGAGAATATTTATTTTACAGATATGGCAAACGCCAATAATATTATAGCTTTTTAAATGGCTTTGGCCCCTAAGATAAAAGAAATTGTGATTGCCATAAATTAAATAAATGAAATAATAGAATAAATTTATGGCAATCTTATATTAATATTATTCGCCATCAATTTCATTATGATGGTTCATATTTTTTTTTTATCTTCTTATTATTTTAATGATGCCAGAGCTATATGTTTAATGGTCTTTCTATCCAACACCCTTTCCTGTTGGTTTCCTCTTTGCTGTATTATGTGTTATTTGTTTTCCGCCGTGTGCTCGGTGGATGTGATTTCCTTTCCGTGGATAATGGGCAGCTATTTATAAGCCATGTCGCATGGTGAAAGAATCAATCAATCATTTGGACAGGATCCAATCTACCTTATCACCTTTCAAGGGCCTGAACCAATCTGAGCATGCCCACTGTATCACTGTATGATTCTAAAAGTCACCATGTCTAAAGATTGCTGAGTACTGTATTCTTACCGTGTTCTTTTAAACTTTTGGTAACGTTTGAGCCAATCCATTCGTCGACATCCCTCGGCGCCGTCCCAGGATGCGAAAGCAGGATGGGATGTACACCCTGGCTGTTCGGAGCGGAGAGGAGTGCGAATGCCTTCCGTTATGCAATAAAGAAGAAACAGGAGGATGCCTTCCCAGTACCACAGCCAAGGATCATGTTTGTTCAATGTTTCTTTCGGAGTGTTTGTTTCTTTATTTGCAGTCTTGGAATCTTGGAAGCTGTGCCTAGTGTCTGAGAGTTGACCGGTGCCTACACCTGCCTACACTAGACCGGTGCCTGTAGTGTGTATGAGTGACTTGCTGATGCTTGTGAGTGCAGGAGTACCAAACCCACATCATTGGTGCCTACTGTGAATACCTTTTTGCTCCTGATGATCACCAGAAAATCATGCATCGGCGCCTCAGTTGCCTTTGACGTTGCAAGTTGCGGAGTTCGCATCAGGAACATGACGAGCTTGGCTGATCCATGATAACGGGACAAGTGGGAGAGGTGTGTCGAAAATCACAAAAATTCTTTCAGCACAGACTGACCGAAGATCATCAAAATTGAAATGCTATTTCCTCATTTATTCGTGTTGCTTTCGCCGGGTAGGGATAGGGCCAGCCATAGGGCAATAGGGGTTCTGACTTCCCAATGGCTGACTGAATTGCAACATTTCCAGCTGCTGTTGCTCAAGTGATTTTTCTCCCAAACCCAAGCTCGACTCCCTGTGTGATGCCCCGCATGGTCCTTTGTGTCGTGGTCTGGGCCCACATACTGCCTACTATTCGGGATCTATGCCACTGTATTTCGTTCATGTCGTTGTAGAATTCCTGTGCTGGTCCTTCATGCTGCAAGTCATTCTTGTGTCACGTGCGTAACAAATAGCAGCACATGACATACGACAAACATATAACAGAACATGCTAAGCCGCCAAGCCAACAACTATAGTAACAATCCAAATCAGGATTTGACAAACACGTGCAAAATCCAACTGATAAAAAGATGACAAACAATGCATAAAAAAGAACCCACACATCCAAACCACCTGGGCAAATATTTTCAAGTCAAATGTTACAGGGTCTGAAATTGATGTTTGTTGAGATGTCCCATTTGTGACAGCGATGGTTTATACTTTGCATCGGGGGTGGGTCGGGTCTCATGAGTTTGGATACATCTTTAGAGAATTGCAAGGGGCTGATTGTGTGGAGCCTGGTTGGGGTGCTTGTGCCTATTGAATTGAACCGCGTCATCATGCAACTGCATGGACATGAAAGTCTGTCAGGCTGTGTGCCCCGAGTACGAAGATTGTGAGTGTCATGGTAAGCGAAGAGGACTACCATCTAGATGATGCTGGAGAAATTGACGAAGCATCTGAAGATGTGCAGGCAGATCTTGAAGCTCTACAATGCTTTTGGGCTTTCAAAGTAGCTTTGTATTGCTTGGTTTGGTCCAATCACGTTCAATGCACTTTTAAGGATGATCTTCTTTCGCGTTGCTCAAGCAAAGCTGCATGGATTGGGCCCCAAAGGTGTTCACCTTTTTGATTTCGGGAGTGCAATCAAATTGGTGGGGGCTAGGGTGTCCGGCCCACTGTTTTTCGTCGGGCCCCTTCGTCATCCTCGGTGCCTTGACTCTTGGCTTCCTGGGTGGATCCGTCGCTACCGCCCTCGCTTGCCTTTGGTTCCTTGGATTTTTCTCCTCTCAGCCACTTGTGGCCTCTCCGCCCCTCGCACGCGGGGCATCCCCTCCAGATCGAGTTCGAGCCAATTTGAATGAGCAGTCGCTCTCCGCCATCACAAGGAGACGACGAGGAACTATCTCTTTCTCTGGAGTTCCAGGGGCTTCAGATCTCAGTCCGAGGGAGCGCTGACCGGGCGGCCTCCTTCGTCCAGCGGTTGGCTACAGAGGGCGCTCACTCCACCTCTTCTGGTGGCTTTCTTGGTGCATATAGTGATCAGGCTCGGCATCCAGCACCTGCAAGCACTTCCAGTGTGGCATCTTGGCAAGAGGTTGAGCCGGCAGCACCAACTCCCCGGAGGGAGACAAGAGCATCCATTGAGGCATCGTTCCCGGATTGCCCTCAGCATCTGCGTGGTTTGGCTGCTTCTCTTTCAGCTACTTCAGAGTGGAGCCCCGATCAGCGTGTTCAGAGGGCCTGGAAGGCCGGAAGTTGGGCAGCAGCAGTCC